TTGTAATGTTTATAAATATAATTATAAATTATAATTAATAAATAAATTGTAATTTTATAAGGCGACACATATCAGACTAGGTTTAGCGTTAAAAATAGCTTAACGTAAATTAATGTAGGAAACTGATTTCTTCTCTCGGAAAATATTTCTTTAATTTATGAAATGGATATTTTTATAATAAGATTTCTCTTCAGTATTGTTCGTGAACACAGATGTACTGTGATCTTAATTCGTAATATTTATTTCAAATAATATTAAATCTTATAACCGTGACAATGAAGGGCCAAAACATTGCGTTTTTATTTGATTTTCTAGCGAAAGTATAATTTCCACGTTTTTATTATATTTTATTCTCATCTTGTAGCGCCTTTAATTTAGGGTCTATCGCGTCGATATAATCGAATCAGTGAAAATTAATTTTTAATTTAATACGAATCTAGTTACGAATACAATCACGAGAAAGCGATTTTAATTCGCAAAAGGATCAATGCGAAAGGGTGAATACGATCTAGAAAAAGATTAATTCAGACCTTGGAAGAAATAATACGATCCGCAAAAGGATCGATTTAGAATTCAAAAGGGTGAATACGATCTACGAAAAGATTAATTTTTAATGGACTTGTAACCAGTCAGTTTTCGTGAAAATCGTCGCGCTGCGACCGCGTTAATATTTTCCTTGGAACAAACAAATTTCAACGAGCTCCCGATCGAATATCTCCTTCGAAGATTACTATTCCTCGCGAGCAGATGTTCCGGCGTTGCGCCGCTTTCGGGCAGCATTCGAAACTCGCTTGGATATTGAATTCGGCACGGATACGTAAGTACATATTGAACTTGATCCCATCCGCAACGGCTCCGTAATTTGCAGATTGGGATCGTCGCGGTATCGATCCGGGTCTTCTGCCGATCATCGGATTCACGAGTGACGCGCGGCGGGCTGCGGGCACGATAAGGCGAGGATTTAACAGGTCATAAACAAGGCGAACGATTTAATTGCACGAAGATAGGAGGCACGCGTGTCGCTTCCATCCAAACAGTCCCATAACCGGGGGAGAGGGGAGATTAATTGTTCCTGATCTTGTCGCGAACTTGCGGACAGGATTGCGCGGCTGATCGGTGCCGCGGCTGTTTGTTGATCAATACCGATCATCGTGGTTCGGCCGGGTTCGCATGCCATGCACGCACGCTAATTAATCACCTTTGACGATGATGCGCAGCACGCAGCTGGCCTGCTTCTTCGATACCGGGTGACGGGCGAAGAAAGTGATCTCGTGGGTCCCGGGCGTTAGGTTCGCCTCCAGCCTGGTGCCCCAGGACGGCTTCGATCTGACGTATCGGAACCAATCGAGATCCGTCGACGGCTGGTCGAATGTCACGAACGCCTCGTCTCGGCCAGGTGGCAACTCGGCGATCACATCGTGCGGACACTCCAGCCGGGGCACGGTGTATCCTGCAAAAATGTCGGCGAGGTGTCGTGTATCGAGTATTGTCCGCTGCACGCTTCCACGGAAGCGTTCTGCGGATCAAACTGACCGCTGCGGAGGCTGCAAGGGTCGGTCGATGAGCAACGTGCGGGGACCTTCTACATCAGGGGTGTCAAACTCGCGGCCCGAGATGAACATTTTTGCGGCCCAGTCAATATATCCGACGCGAAGTAAAAATAAAATAGAAATGTGAATTCGAAATTTTGAAAGTAGTCTCGGCCAATAAAATTTCTCCCGAAATAGGAAAGATTGTATCAGAGAAAAGATGTCAAGTATCAGGACGTAAACAATAATTTAACTTTATATATGTGTTTATTACAATGTACTAGTCAAAATAAAAATATATGTTTCTATGAACATTGATCTTTTTGCGGCCCGCCTAAAGTTAAGCATTGTTTATTTGACCCAAGTTAGCTTTTGAGTTTGACACCCCTGTTCTAAATTTTTAGATGAGAAAGATGTCCTTGCGATTTTAACACGTTGAATGCCACGCCGGTTTCACAGAAATTGTCCGTGGCGCCACGATGAATTTTCTTTTATGTGATACATATAATGCTGAAATATAATATTATCTGCAATAGATAAGTTACAGTGTATAACCATATCTGACATGTTAATTGCGACAGGGGTCGCTGTTTGAATTGACGATGGTAATAATACAAAATTTTAGATATTGACATTTGTTTTAAATTATATATATATATATATATATATTTCTATCAATTTGGGCGCGACGGTCACCGGTGGCCCCCATGGCGTCACCGCCAAGTTAAGTGCCAATCACAGGTGATCCCAGTGGCATTCAACGTGTTAATGAAATAATTAAGATATCGTTGCAGAAAGAATCGTCGAATTTGAACCGCTGTCTAGATTGATCCCAATTTGTAGTCATTGTAACGACGCTGTAAACGTCAGACTTGTTGACTTTCTCTCAGATTTGTAGAACACGTGAGAAATGATTTTCAGTGGGTTTCGCAGGTAAATTCGAGTCTGATGGCAAGTTACGTGAACGTGAGAGGCAATAACATGCAAAATTCCGCAAGGATAATCTCTCGCGGAAGGATTTGCATACGCATGAAATGGATATTAAAATGATACGTGAGTGGATACAGATAATACTCTGAGTCAGGTGCACAGCCGGATGCAATAGGAGAGCAGCCAGCGCTTCCGAAGAATGTTGACGGAATAATCAATGTTTCATTTGCGCTGCGAAAGTCATAATGATTCTCTCTTCTTAGGGAGTTACGATGCTAGAAATTGTTAATGCGATTATACAGATCAGTGAGCACGATTCGCTAATCGTCTTGTTGGCTAATGAATCCCTTTGTCTCGTTCCTTCTCGGTTACTCCTCGCTGCCCCGTTCGACGGGCGTGTCCTTTCTTACGGCATTCGACATCAATGTTCGTCGAAAATGTTCGGCGAACGAACTCAATTTCTATCTACTTTTATTTATGAGATTCCGCGTGTTTATCTGTTTTTTCGTTGATGAAATTTCGCGTTCCCTATTTTTGTACACTAGAGAGCGACTCTTAAATAGACAAATGACGATTATGTAGCGACCTCTTCTCTTTCGCGCGAGGACGACATCGAAAACGTTGATATACCTGGAACGGTGCAACTTCTCTGTGGCTTTTAATACACTTGGAGACAGTTCCTCTAGTCCGCTATCAGATATCGGAGATATCGGATGTATTTAGACAATCAGAAATACGACGAAATTGTGTGAGAACTGTCAAATTACAGGAAAAGATAGTACCGGATGTGATGCAAGTTACATTTGAAACGGAAATAACTGTTTGAAGTAATTACTTTGGAACCACTATTTTCGATTATGTTATTTTCAGAATGAAATAATATCAATTGATTTGAGATACCAGCAATTTCGATAGATCGACATTATATAAAAAACGATTATCTTCCCGGAGAATTTCAATTAATTCGAACGATGCGTAAAATTGTCGAGTTTCGATCATGCTTCGCGAAGTACAGAAATCTCTCCCTAATTGACACCCAGATTGCGCGCAAGAATATACAATTTGGGAAGAGCCTTGCGTCTCGTTTTCATAATTGTCGACAATCGGTAACTATAAAAACGAGCCGCGGGGTTCGAATAATCGTATCTGCTCCTCCCAAATTGTCCATTCTTGCGCGCAATCTGAACGCGAATTCGGGAGAAATTACCGTAGCTCGAATTTTGGCGTGATGTTTAACCCTAGAAAGATAACCATATGACAACGTACGTAAAAGATAACCATACGCTTCAGAGGCGCATGCTTTTCTAAGGCGTCAATTTTATACTAACAATGGATATTTATTTAAGTTAATCTAGTCATTTTAAAGGTTTGGCATTATTGTAAAAATAAAATGCATTTATATTATATCTTTTTATATTTTAAGTAATTTTAAACTTAAATCACTAGACCTCTATGAAAAATTAACAAAAATCAACAGTCTTCGCAGGCGCCTCTGCGACGTAGGTTATCTTTCTCGGGTTAACGAAGTGATACAGAGTTCGCATGACGACGTCGCGATCGGCATGAAATGATTCGCCAACGATGATGCTACTCACTGACGCACTCGCCGTGTTTCGGACCGTTCCATGTGCCGTCTGACCGACAAGTTAATTCGTATTCTCCGTGAAGCTGATACCCGTAGGGACACTTCAAGAAACACTTGGTACCGGGACGATTGGACGCCCGTCGTCTACCTCGCCGCGACATTGGTGTTGCCGAACGAGAACACATTAAATACCCTCGACCCTCTGGATTCAGGGGAGGGCAGGACGCATTCTTTAAATCTGGGAAAACAAATAAAAAAAAGTCACGTCCTTTGCAGCGCGTCCGTCCACGCACGGCTGGAGTTAGTTGAATCTGGACCTTTGTGCGAACACATATATTTTCACGAAGGGACGGGACACAGAAATCGAACGTCCGAGGCAAGCGTTCTTATTCTGCGCATTTCACGGCGTATTTGTTGGATATATTTTCTTGAATGCACGTGAGAAAGCGTATTGTATGTGATACTTATATATGCATGTGTTCTCTCGAAGCTGAAATTTTATATGTAACTAAGAGATTTTTGAAATAGTGAATGGATTGCAAATATTTTTGTCTTCTGGTAGCTGGTACTCTGATGCAACTAAATAGTAGTTGCACATGTAAATAGCATTTCAAATATACAGTGACATCCGTTAATGTTCGGACAGTTTTCGAAACGCGATAACCTTTTTAGAACTGGACTAAACGGCTGGAATTTTTTTTAGATGACAGAGCGACCAATCTTCTAGACCATAACTAGAACACTTTCTTTAGATTTTGCTATTGCTTAGGATGACAAAAGAAAATTAAAAAACTCGCATTTTTTACTTTTTTATATGAGCCTATAACGAAAATTTAAAAAATGTGTTCTGTAGATCACGGTAAGTTATGCGCGTGTTAAAAATTTCACCGAAATCGGTTGAGTTGTAAACAATTAAAGATCGTAAAAATCGTGATTTTTGACACTTTCCATCAATAAGTGTGAGAAATTTACAGTTTTTGCAATCCTTTTCCGCTTGTAACTTGACTTTGCGTCAACTAGTATCTACAAAACGCATTTTTAAAATTTTTCATTATAGGCTCAGATGAAAAAGTTGAAAAACGAGAGTCTTTCATTTTATTTTGTCATTCCAAGTAATAGCAAAATTGCAACAGTTTAGTCACCGTCTAGTATACTAATCCCAGTGTCATCTAAAAAAAAATTCAAATCGTTCATTCTAATTTCAAAAAACTTATTACACTTAAAAAGGTGTCCGAATATTAATGGGAGTCACTGCATTCGATCACATAATATTCATACGCAACCGGTACATTTGAAAAACAGTTCATTCGCCAAATTCCGCATCACACGATCAAAATATTATATTCATAGAGTCTATTTACCGTCTCAAAGATCTATCTTTCCCCGAACCCTGACACTGGCCCGGAGGAATGCGAACGTGAGATACAGGCGAGGCGAAGCAGCAGGATTAAAGAGAAAGTTCTTTTCTGTTGCGATCTGCATTGTGCCCTGTGCGAACGTTCGCGCCCGCGCTCGCTGAAAAAGAACTGTCGGCAGAAAGATGGACAGTAGCACTGTATTAGAGGAGGAAAAATCGGAAATCCACTGATCGCCGCGGCACGTCGACGCGAGCCCGTATCGCAGAGCTCCATCAATTCACCGTTTTCGCGAGCCGGAGGACTCGCCTGGCCGGGTATCGATTAATGATATGATCTCGTAAATCCTTTAATCGGATCACGACTAGCTGGGATTTTCGGTGACAGGTAGGGAACGCGATACAGCGTTCTGTGGAGGGAACGGGGAATCTCTGTCACGATTAATCGGTTACCTTCGGAACCTGACGCGGCGGTGGACGACGACGGATATGCGCGAGCATAATTTGAAATCCGCGACGGCGACCGAGCACCATTGTCGGCTCCGATGCTTACACGTATTACCCGCGATATCTGCATAATATATGAATCACGAATGCTAACGACGACGCGGAGACGCGCGTAACGGCGCCGGTGCCGCATCCGTGAGAACCATACTCGTGGCGAGCATGCATCGGCTCGGAAATATCGATGCGACCCGCGTCGCCCTCGCGTCGCCGATGTCCAGTTTCTCCCCTTGTTGCCGGTGTTCCGTTTCGCGAGTTTACGACGAGATTACCCCGAAATCTGGAACGCCTCGCCTCGCCTATCTCTACCCCAAGAGAATCTTCTAACGTCCGTAACCTTAATCCCGAACGATCCAATACGCTTCCCTATCATAATTGACCAGCAGCACTTCCGCCGGTGGTTCAATAGACATATCGGTAACGGTTTCAACATTGTATTATCCCCGGCGATCCTGCGATACTGTGTCGATTGTTAACCAAGTTCGTCCCGCTTCATCCTCGTTTCGATTTTGTGGGATACTCGGGGATTTTTCCGAACGAATTGCGCGAATATTACGCGATACAGTAATGTCTCCTTAATTGACGCTCGGATCGTGCGCAAAAGTGAACGATTTGGGAAGAGGAGACACGATTATTCGAGCCTTGCAGCTCGCGTTTTTATAACTGTTGACGATTGGTAACTGTGAAAACGAGTTGCGAGGCTCGATTAATGGTATCTCCGCTTCCTAAATTGTCCTTTTTTTGTGTACAATCTGAGTTTGACTCGAGTTGCTCGGGTACAATTTGACTCGAGCAGCTTCGATCAGTGTCCCAGAATTTTGTCAGATTTTTTGGAAATCGAGAACAGTGAACAAGTTATGACTCTCGCATAAATGAAACCGATTGCTCTCGCGAAATGCGCAAAAAGAACGAATGTGGCAAATACTGTTGCAAGATCTGTTAGGTTGAAATCTGTATACTGAGCCAGGTTTTTTAGAGCTTTTGACAGCGGGATGAACTTATGTTACAAACCGATCACTGGTATTATAGGACTTGAGATTTATTTATTGATGCAACGTCTATTGCAACAATTATTTGCATATTTCTTGGGGACGTCTGTTCGCTGAAAATAAAAAAGATGACGAAAGTTACGTATCGAATTGCTTGAATATTTCTGGAATTTTTGTGGAATAGTAGACCGGATCGTATTTTGTTTCTTAAAAAGACACGCGCAGCTGTTATTTCATTAAGAATTTCGATGCACGGCCGGTAAACATGCGGCAAAGAAAAATTTCAAGCTAGCAGTCGGAGGAAAACGCCGGTTCCCGTTTCATATTCGCCTCTAGACGGCTTCTGTGTCAATACTTTTCCAATAAGCGTATCGGCCAGGGACCTCAAACTAGAATGTCACCGGAAATTGGTAAAAAGCATAGATCCTGGCAAACTCCGCGGTAGACGTTTGAAAAAAAAGCTGATAGAATCGTAGAACCTAGCCGGTTTTCACGAAAACATTCGCGCTGTTAGAAATTGGTTGCGCAATCGAAAAAAGAAATATGAGAACGACGAAACGCGAATGATATTTTGTCAACGATCTCGATAATATAAGAAAAAGAAATAGAAACTTCGTATTCGTTAAGTGTATCGCAAACGTCCGCCGTGTAAACACGAAGACCACTTTGAACAATTTTGCAGCAGGAATTGAAACGTTTGCTCGCACAAAGTTGGTAACTCGACTTGGTAATGATATTTTAAAAATCGATTGCAGTAATTACGGAAACGTCGGAGTTGAACAAAATATGCAACTAGTATGTGTAGCAATATGTTGTAATTAGGTCGTGGATATTTATGCAAAATGAGAATCGTCTGTATCAATTGCAAAGTATTGGTGCCGCGTGAAACTTATTTTCTTTCTCAAATAATTTTAATCAAAACACGTTATAACTAGATCACGGATATTTATGCAAAATAAAAATCGTCTGCATTAATTGCAAAATATTGGTGGCAAGTTAAACTTATCTTCTTTCTCAAATAATTTTGATCGATGTACATCAACGTTTCTAGTTTCCTTCAATCTTTTCATTATTTTCAAATTTTACCATTTACGGCGTAACTGTTGAACCTGTTAAAAATGATATTCAATAATAATATTCCTCGCAGTAAGTACAAGATCCTGAAATCATCTGCATTTATTACAGACGCCGAACGGTCGATCGTAGACTGCCAAAACATTCTGGAAACGCGGCGAATGTGCAAAGAAGCTTTCCAATAACTCGAGAGACTTTATCAGTAACTCTTTCAGAACGCAATTCACAAAATAAAGGCTTCCCGCGATATTGAGGCCGAGCTTACGCTGTACCCTATAAAAGGAGACTTTATTTTAAGGTTTCCCCGATTGAATCCGGGGAGAGCGAATAACATCAAAGTATTTCTGCCCGGCGTTCCTTGAACCCCCGCACAAGGAACTATCTCTTTCGATAATTTAATAGAATTCAGCAATTATCGGTTCGTCGTGAGAACACACAGCCGAGGTCCTCTTTGTGCTGGCGGTAACTGTGCAAACAATCGCAATCTGGGTCACTTGATTCCATATTCCGCGAGAAACTTGTAAATCGTTAGCGTGTTCTTGAACAATGCAAATTTCACGGCGGAACTTCTTTCGTATTGCCCGATAGATTTATGCAAACGAGAGTAAACCCGTGCGACAAAAATTCGTACAGCGGACGCCGCCGGACTGGAAATAATGCCGCGAATGGTTCGAACACAATACCAGACGTTATCTTGCAGCTGCGTATTTCAAAACGACTTTATCGCAGGGTAAGTATGCCAATTACTGCGAGAATCAAAGCGACGAAAGTAGTTGTCGACAAATTGAATAGTTAAATTGCACGTTGATGTATTTTTAATACAAGTACGAATTTTGTTGATGACTTCAATGTACAAAGAACACAAAATATTTAACAAAATGGACAGAACAGTTTTCGAGCGAGCTACTGTGCCCTTAAAGAGATGAAAGATTGTTCTAATTACTGTGCATTTTATACGTTAATTTAGATATTTTATATACAAAGAACGCAAAGTATTTAACAAAATGGACAAAACAGTTTTCGAGCGAGCTACTGTACTCTTAAACAGATGAAAGGTTGACCCAATTACTGTGCATTTTGTACGTTAAGTTTTTGATTTGGCTACGAAAATAACGGATCAAATTTTATTGAAAAAATTCGACACCTAATAATTCAGCGACGTTTTTAAATCCAAGTAAAATCGTTGTAAGGGCACAGTAACCAGGGGCTGGCGCAGGAATTGGCACACTTACCCTATCTGGCAAATTTTTGCGCACTGAATTCTCGCCCGTCCGAGGAGCCAGGCAGATTGGATCGCCGGTTTAACAACGCGGGCGTGTCTATTGAACACCGCCACGGAAAATGGAAGTAACGTGATTCCTTCTTTTGGAAACCGACCGTGAGCCTTCATGTAAATTCCGAATTTTACACGCCGTTTTACTCGAACGGAAATTCGATAGAAATTTGTATCTTGTCCCGTGGGTTTGCCCCGTATTATCGGATCGCTGCGCGACCCTTGTCTGTCGCGCTTCGAGCACAATTTCATCTTGGGAATCAACTTCTGTTGCGTGCACGTTTTATATCGTTTTGCAGTCCGCCGGCTGTCCGTCGTCCAAGTGCGTCCTGAATTTTTCAATATGGCGGAAAGTTTCTTCTGTTCCGAGTTTTTAAAAAAAAAAATTATGCAGCATTCGATCGAAATAAAAGTTCCAGTTTGATACCCGTTGTAATTCCGGACTTGAAATACTACGAGGAACTTTCGTCGAAATGAAATAACTTCGAGACGATGTCGTACGACAGAGAAATCGTTAACCTTTTATTCCGCCGTGGATCGTCGAAATTCAATAGAAATATTCGCTACGATGCACGCGCTCGAGCATTTAATAGATACGTCTTCTTTAAAAACTCGCTCTTTCCGCCAAACACAACGGAAAAACGTGGCGAACAGAGATTTGGAACTTTTAATGAAATCTGCTGACAGCTGACGCCAGTTTTAATGGCGCGGCGGTGTAGGCTGTTATCAAAAATAAATCTCGACGTACGATTTAAATAAATCGTGATTTCTTGGTCTCTCTTGCAGCCGGTTGAATGCACGCGATACGCCGCGGAGTACTTCATTTTCAACGTTATCTGTACAGATCGTATAATTTATCTTCGGTAATCTTCGACCAATTCGCATTCGCGTTTCGAAAACGTCGACATAACGTTATATCAGCGGTACGTTCCAATGCACAGTAATTAACTGTGTATACTTGCGCTCGGTGTATTACTGCGAATTTCCGTCGGGCGTCAGTAATCTGTTAATTTTCAAATGACTGATCGCGTAGGAATCGACCGAGCAGCGATTATCCAACGTAGAATTCATTCGGTTGCTCCTCGCGTTCGTCCGACAACTTATTTTGCATAACATTTTATTATGAATATTCGAATGTGATTATTTTGGTTGCGGCCACTTTCAACGAGACACGACTTTGCGATTCGTAAATATTGTTTCGATAAAGAAAATCACGAAATATTCTCTAAGACGCGTCAATTTACGTAGGAAAATGTTCCTTTGACCGCCAGACTTACTTACGGTTGCCGGGTCATTTTCACTAATTGCGAACGCGGCGATTTATATTTATTAATAGATTTATTTGAGAAAAGAACAGAAACATGATTATCGTATATGTCAAAATTGTAGTGGAGAATAACAAATGCCGTGTTAATTATACCGGGAGAGTCAGGTAACTTGAACAGGTCGAACAGCTTTTGAAATGATGCGTTTTATGAAATATCGTCAAATGTAACTTGTGTATGTGACAATTCTCCATGGAACGCACGATTTATACGTTACTTGGGGTGGTGTAAGTTATTCGAGATGCGCAAATTACGTGGCTCTGTTGTTCCTTTATTTTTCTATATTCATCAAATAATTCTATAAATAATTTTACATAGAAAATATCGTATAATAATGTCGTACATATAATGTTTATTACAGAGTTTAAAAAGAAGAGAATAATAAGAAACATTTGTATGTTGTACATCCATGAAATCTTGATATGTTTAAGAACAAGATATGCAGAAGGCACGATTAATATTTTGCAGTGTTATATAGTGAGTAACGATAATATTCACATGACCTTTAAAACGAAATAAATTTATTAAGATTGGACCAAATGATTGCAATTTTTTTGAGATGTTAGACTGACTAGTTTATGAAGAACCGAGTCAAAAGATTGCTAAAAAAAATTGCGATTGGCAGAAATGACAATAAAAATAAAAGTGATGTCTTTTCAAATTTTATATATAAACGATTAATAAAGATAGCAAAAATCGTAGTTTTTTTACGTCCTTCGCTATATTTAACCGTTTAGTATATAAAAGTTGCAAAGACGTTACTTCGTATTCTTTTTTGTCATTCCAAAAAATTGCAATGTTTCCAACAATTCTTTTACTTATTGTCTACTGAATTAGTCAGTGTCACATATCATCAAAAAGAAATGAAATTGTATAGTCCAATTCTTAAACAATTATTCCATTTTAAAAGGTGTTTGAATAGTAATCCTCTATAGCTTACAATTACATAGCGTTACTTTGAACTCGCATACTGATTTATAAATATTTGTTTAATTTCATTCAATGCATATTGTTCTATTGTTTCTCCTCCGTAATTCAGGAAATTAAGCATTAGACTGCGAATTTTATGCATTTCTGACAACAATGAATAGATCACAAACAAAATTGTAAAGGCATTACAAGAATTCCAGGATATTCTTACATTATTTTCAACTTTGAACGATTATTGAAAAAAGAAGGATATTTTGATCCAACTTATGTTTCTTAGAACTTCCATAAAGATCCGCAATCTATTAATCATCGTAATTTTCCTTCATACATCAGAGAAAATCAGTATTTTTCTTTTTGTTAAATTCTAAATTCATTGTCGAAACCCTTTGCACTATAAACTATGCACTATCGACTGCGTTGATTAGCATTTCTTCGTTTTCATAATTTCTCTAATAGAATAAAACAATATATTCGATTTCCTTGCGAATTACAAGAAAATAGAATAAAATAAAATAGAATAGAATGAAATGCAAACGATTAAATTCAAATGAAATACAATAACTTACACAACGAATTTAAAATTATACTATTATTAAACTAATAATACTATTCCGTTCCGATGCACTATCATTCCTAAACTTTGGTAACAAATGAATCAAATTTCATTTCGATTCACAAGAAATTAATAGTACATTTATAGTTAGTTATTACTAGTACAATATTTAGTATATTACGTACGAAATGTTCACCGCGAGTCCGACTCGTTATAGTGCAAATGGTCAATGTACTCTTTACATTCGCTAATTTCGAACTACACAAATGATCTCAGAGCCGTCTACAAAATTCGAGGTTCACGTTACTCCCTATATATCATCGCACGAACGAAATCCATTCTGCATCCAGCACACGACCGATTCTTCGATCTCCGCAAATATCTGATACGTGTTAAACGCACGCTAATTGCGGCGGGGCTCGACGAACAACAGGCCAGGCTCGAAAATAAGAGATCGGATGGCCGCGCGCGGGGTCCGGAGCGGCACGGCGGGGCGGGCTAATTAATCTGGTAGGAAGAAACGTGGACGAATTTATCGCGGTCTCGAGAGCGCGGCATAATAAAGAGAACGTATTACTCTCGGCCGCGTGCGTATTAATCGGGGACGGGTGCCGCGGAGGGATGGGCTAAAGGAAAAAACCAGAGCGTCGTTTATCCGGAAAAACGGCTCGCACGTAAAGGTTCATCCTCGATAACGTTATTACGATGTAGTCGTGAAATTTCCCTCGCGTCGGCCGGGCATATTGCATTTCCCAGACGCGCGTATGATGTATGGTCCTTTGGGTGTCAAACGGAGGGGGTTGAGGCGCCGGCTGAAGGAGAACGGTTCCCCGGCAAGGAAAACTTACCCACACAGGACTTCCCGTCGGATGACAGGGCTTTTTCGTCACCGTCGCAGCCGCAGAAGAAACCGCCGTCCGTGTTCTCGCAGACCTCCATGCAGCCGCCGTTGTCTATCGTACACTCGTTGATATCTACGGCCAGAAAACGGAATTCCGTTTGTTAGGAGATTGCTGCATTTCCACGGATAGGTTTGACACAAAAATCAATCTGGCGAATAGGCGTTCGTTTGACGAACCGATATCGGTTAATTGTGTTTATACTTTTTGTGACATGTTTTAATATTGTTACGGCGGCTTGTCCGAATCGAGTCGCTGTAATGTGAAACTGCCCTGTTGCGAGCAACTCCTTAACACGTTCCGTGCCACGTGTACCATCCATGGTACACGCTTGCATGTTTACTTAGTGAACTGAACAAATTGTTTACAAGAAATTTAGAATCGAAGAATCAATTTCCACCGCAAGAATGGGCGTTGATAAGTTTTTGTTACGTTGTTATGTGTACGAGAATTAATAATTGCACGTAATACATCAAGTTTTAGTAAAATATCAAAGTGTGAAGATTCGAGTAAAAAAAGCTCGGCACGGAACGTGTTAAAAAATAATGGAAGATAGGGGTTGCCACGGAAGTGTGTTACCAACGGACAATCGAAGAGTCGAGATCGGACTGTCGAACGATCAACGTTCCACTTCTGAAAGATCTGAATGGTAATTGTATCGAATTGTGTTATAGTTAATATTCTTTATTGTAAATAAAATGCCGCGACGCGAGAGAAATGGAATAATTCGCAGCAATGTTTATTATATTTATCATTACATTTATATATATATTATGATATTGTTACGGCGACTTGTCCAGATCGAGTCGCTGTAATGTGAAACTGCCCTGTTGCGAGCAACTCCTTAAAAAATAATGGAAGATAGGGATTGCCACGGAAGTGTGTTACCAATAGACAATCGAGGAGTCGAGATCGGATCGTCGAACGAGCAACATTTCAAATTGAAAGATCTGAAATATAATTGTATTAAGTTGTATTATAGCTTATATTCTTTATTGTAAAAATTGTTTGTTCGCAACACAATATTTATCAATATTTATTGTATTGATTATTATATTTATTAATATTTATTATATCTATTATTGCATTTATTTCGAAATTATCTCGAAGATCAAGCACATTCTAGACACCCGAGAGACGAGATGTCTGAGATTCTGATCATCCCAAAATTGTCTCACCACAGATATCTAAAAAATTTGAAATTAAATATAAAATGTTCTACGATGAGGAAAAATTAGAGAAAATGTCGCATACAATTTTCGACGTTGCAAATTTCTGTTAAATTTGACGTTTCTCGATCAAATTTTGGTTTGTCCATTATGTCGTGCAATTGGTTTATTGTATCGATTATTATATTTATTAATATTTATTATATCTATTATTGCATTTATTTCGAAATTATCTCGAAGATCAAGCACGTTCTAGACACCCGAGAGACGAGATGTCTGAGATTCTGATCATCCTAAAATTGTCTGGCCACAGATATTTAAAAAATTTGAAATTAAACATAAAATGTTCTACGATCTGGAAAAATTAGAGAAAATATCGCATACAATTTTCGACGTTGCAAATTTCTGTTAAATTCGACGTTTCTCGATCAAATTTTGGTTTGTCCATTATGTCATGCAACTGGATGTCGAGTGTCTTGTTCTTTTCACCAACACTGCATTAGAGTAGCGACAGTTCTACAGAAACACCGAAAAATAACAAAGAAGCTAGCGACCGCGCGCAATCGCCTTAGCCCTCGGCTCGTAACACCTTTATGCATGAGAATCGCATCGGCCGGCTTTAAATGCCAGCGGAACACGCGAACGGAATCAAAATGTCCTCCGTGTCCCTCCCGTCCCATCTGTCCTATCTACGGTCTAACGATTTATAAAATTTTTAGATCCGGATCAGCCTCGTGCTCGGTTTACTAACGTCCCATAATGAAACTCCGTGATACCCGAACGAACGACCGCGATATATCGGATTATACGTGACGTGTTTCGAAAGGAAATCAATTGGAAGCTCTTCCCCGGGCCGGGTAATTGATCATCGAACTGCAATTGATCGGTGACAAGATTCGCTCGAGATCGAAGCCGATTATTTTAGCTCTTTCGCTCTTTCATTGGCGCGTAGCTTAGCGTTGCGCGCCAATTGCTTCCAGGAAGAGATATCGAGGGTTTCTAAGTGGGCTGCACTAGAGTCAACAGTTCTCGTCAACCTTGCAGTGTCTCTAGGTGTGGAAATTAATTGTTGCGATCGAAATTGCTCAGGAATCGGTCGGTTCATTAATTATCATTAATATCGAGGCAAGTAAGGATATTGCAAACTGCCTGTCAAAAATAACGATGTCACAAATTATATATTAATATTTAATCGTATTTATTTCTATACTTTCTTACAGTTTTCTTTATTTTTATTCTTCTTCCAGAATTTTCTTCACTTTTACTTTCTTTTCTTTTAGAATTCTCTTTATTTTATTTTTACTCATTCTCAAAAGAAAAGTGGACCTCTCAAAGAAATATACCATCATTTGCTCACGAAATGGCCGAACGTCGGTGCGCGACTTTTAACCCTTTGCACTCGAAGCTATCTCAACTGAAAATATAAAATCATTTTTCTAACTTACAATATTTCTATTTTATACGAGAAAATGCATTTTATGCATATATGAAAATTGACTCTTGGGACTCGCGCAACAGTTACGCTCTTAACAATTTTTCAAATGTAAACTTCGTTGATATCAAAATTATTTTAAAAGCTGATATAACAAATATTAGCGGTGCCTCAAAGTCGCCACTCGAGTGCAAAGGGTTAAACAACAAATTCAACGTGTTCTTCTTTCCTATTTCGAGAGAGTCCCAGACATTTTCTCCGAAATATCGCCGGTCGCGTTCCTTCGCGCCGCAGAAAATCCGCATCCGCGACGAACGCACGGAACTTCCCGCATGTACACTAGCCGACCGGCCAGCAATCGGACCTTGTCCTGGAACGAAGCAGTACCGTAATTCACGTAGAACGATCGTGAATACCCATTGAACCGAAGCTGATCGCATTTGTCCCATAGTGATCGCCGGCGTCGCGCCGCGCCGGGTGAAAGGGATCGGGTCTTTTTCATACCGTCGAGTAACGACTTCTCCTGAACGATTTCGCATTCTTCGACGCAATGCCACCGTCCGACTGATCAATTGTCCACGCGATGACGCTAAATTGACCGAAATAGAGGTACAAGGGTCGGCCGGATTGCGATTGCCTCGAGCACTTTCAATGACCGCCAAGAGTGCTCTCGACTTCCGTCGCTTTCACAACGTGCAGACGCGCGTCCCGTCGCGACGTTGTATACGCGGCTGTCTGCGTTGTGCTACGCCGCGCTACGTATCCGCAGCACGATGATACTCGGATAGAATGGAAGGTCAAAGTACCACGTCCCTTTCGCCTGCACCACGGATCCCTGGTTTTCCAGGGGGCCGATAGAATACGGCTTGATTATCGTCACTTCTCTTTACTTTTGTCGTTGCTGAATAGTACATCCCCGACGAAAGAGATACGGGGCATAAAAGGTATTTTAGTGCTGGATACACAATGGATGCTGCTGTTCACAAAGAAATAAGCAGATACGGTTGTCGTAATGGTGCCGGTGCCGTTGAACGCGGGAGAATTCACATTTTTAGGATCTAGAGCAGGGGTGTCAAACTCAAAAGCTAACTTGGGCCAAATAAACAATGCTTCACTTTAGGTGGGCCGCAAAAGAAAATCAATGTTCGTAGAAACAAATATTTTTATTTTGACTAGTACATTGTAATAAACATACTACTGTGATCAAAAAGTAAGGTGAAATTGTCATTTAAAATTTCCGGGCATTAGGAAGGCAGGTAATTTTTTTTTCCTAGGTTGGTAGGACTGTCTGTAACATTTGCCAAGTGTCTGTTTGTCAAAAGGTTTAATTATCTCCGAGTTACACGTGTTTTTGTAAACAACCAAAAGTGAATTTTTCGATTTTTACAATGGGTGATTTTGTTGAGCAAAGAACTTGCATCAAATTTTGTTTGCGGAACGAATATTCTTGTGCGGACACGTTGAAAATGTTACGGAAGGCCTTTGGTGATCAAACTATGGCACAAAAAAACGTTTATAAGTGGTACAAC